AGAGGAACAGGCATGGCTGCTGCTTCATGCCTCGGCTCCTGTGGGAAGGGCGAGGTCTACCTGGGAAGGCCCTGTTCTCCCGCAGGGGCATGAGCTCAAAGTTTCTGTACCCACGCATCTCCTTATACCAGTGATCCCTTTATGTCCTGGTATTTTAAACACTAGGCAGCAAACGCAGGTAAAGAATCACCAGGGACCATACTGAAGCACCTACTGTCCTCTTCTCTTTAGTTTCCCTCTGCCTCATTAATTGACTGTCTTGGGTTATTCATTAATGAAGACCACAGCGTGAGCAAAGGATGCAGGACACAATTACATTGAAACTCGAGTTTGAACAGTTGTGTGATTTCATGGTCTCTCCCTCATTCCATCCAGAGCTGGGGAGGCTGGCTCTGTTTCATGCATACTGTCAGCTCGGTGTCACCTCCTTCCCATCTGCTTCAGGAGAGAGCGGCATGGGTGCACTTGGTTCCTTGCTCGCCTGAGGTTTGCCCTTTCTGCTCTGTCACAGGTCTGCTCTACAGGCTTCTCCTCCTGGGTCGTGGTAGAACGATCAATCTTCCGCAACACATTTACACACTTGGCTTCTCCATGGTTGGATGCTTCAGTCACCCGTGTGTTTTGCAGATGAGCTGGGTTGCTCAGTGCTTTAATCTCCAGCTATAAAGCATCTTCCTGCATCTTCTGGATGCTCCCCTGGGGTCTTACAGCCCTCCCAGTGTGCCTGAACTCTGTATGGTGAGAAGCCCAGCTGTGAACCCCACCATTCTATCCAGGAGGAGTTTATTTAGGGAAGTCCTGAGACTTCAGTGACTCAGTGCTTCTGCTTCTCGGGTGTCCCCAGAGACAAGGCACAGGCTGCACTGCTGCGCCCTCCTGTGCCAAGATCAACTTCCGTTCCTCTCTGTCTCTTTCTCTGCTCTGTCTTTTTCCTCTGTCTTTCTCTGTGATTCCATCTCTGGCTCCATATCCTTTTATTTGGCTCATTCTGCCTCCACAGAACCCATTTACCTATGACTCCCTTTTCATCCTGACCTGGCCAAGTGGCTTCCGCTCGTGGTCTTGGCCTGGAGATGAGGGCCGGATCAGCCAGTCTTCCTGCACACAGGTCTGTCAGGTAACCACATCACCTTCTCTCTTGCCTGTGTGGTACAAAATACACTTATTTTCTTCCATTTATTCAATGCCTTATCTTTTAGTTTTTTACTGAGCCAGTGTCTAGTTTGGTGTTAGGCAGTTAGGCTTGCGAACACAATTTTAACCAAGCTGCTCAGAGAATTGAGCTATGCGTTATTTTCTCTATCATTGTTTGCAGTGTTATAAGCAAGAGTTCGGTCTTTGTTCACAGGCCACACAGTCTGGGGAGAGAAGGGACCAGTGTGAGCCTCTGCAGAGAGGCTGTGTGACCGTTTGCTGAGCTCTGACTGGTCACCTTCTTTCTTCCTTCTCCACTTCCCCCCTCCCCCATGCAGCTCCAAAGTCCTCTGCTAGGAGGGCAGGTGAGGGGGGCCTTCACAACTGTCCTCGATTTGCTCTGCAGCTGCACTGGGTCACCCACCATTCCTAACAAGGTCGGTGATGGTGAAAGGTAGCAGAGCTGTCCCTCTCTGTGGAGCTTTCCCAGCAAGTCTGGGCCCCCATCCTCCCTCTGCAGCTGTCCCAGGTGGAAAATTTGCCAGGGTGTCTGGAAAGTGCAGATGAAATGGCCTGCTCCATTGGGTCAGCTCCACCTGGTTGTGTATGTTTAGGAAAGTAGGGCCATCATCCCAGGAAGTCGGCCTGGGTGACCTGGAAGAGCAGGGTTCAGGGGGCTGCTGAGAGCACCCCAGAGGCAATGATTTGGCAGGCAGGGAGAAGCCGGGAGAGGGCAGCATGCCCTGAGCTTTGGAGTGCAGGCTCAGTGTACAGAGTAGATTCGTTGGTGGGCTTCAGCCTTGGAGTGTAAAGCTGGGGACCGTGGAGGAGCAGAGCCCTCGTGGGTTCATTTGCTTTGTTCCTCCAGCAATGTTGCTGCACCCACACCTGGAAGTTTCTGGTTTACCTTGTTTGTTGATCAGTCTGTGTGTCCCACAGTGGCCGTGCTTCCTGAGGCACCTGTACTGTGACTTTCTGTGTTTATATTCAGGAACAGTAAAGTAAACCACTCTGCCACCACTCTTCCTCCGGGGTGCCGTCGGGCTGAGCTGTAATGTCATCATTATTTCAAACCAAGTGGGTTTAATTCAGTGCTCTGTGAGGTGTGTTTCTTGTGGGAAGTTCCATGAAGTCTCTGTACTCTGTAGAACTCACAAGACGTAACTGTTCTTCTGTTATCTGCTATGCCAAGCCCTTTGTTTAAACGTGGTGAGTGGGTTGCTGCTTTTTATAAGGAAATGCCAACATTTTGGCCTTTGCTAGCTATCTTTTTATGTGTGTCCTCCACCTGAATGAACATGAGTCTATTCTAGATAGGAGAATTGGGAGGAAGTGTAAATAGCACATCCGGGATGGAGTCTGTGCCTAAATTAACATGCATTCTTAAAATATTTCAAAGTTAAATTAGAATGTAGTTGTTGTAGTCAGGGGTTGTGCAGAGGACAATTAAAATCAGGACATGGAATTTCTAATACTATTTATGATGGTCACCCAGAGTTAACACAAGAAAATGTAAGAAATCTATCCACAATACTAAAGACATAGAATATTTAGCCAAGGGCCTGAATCCCACAGCAGTGTCCTATATGAGTCCACATGAAGACCCAGAGCTCGTGACAATGCCTCCCACTGGCCCAGCTGGAGATCTAGAGCCCATGATAAGGGCTCACGACATTCTCTTGTATGGATTCCTGCTGGGAAGGCCCAAAGGTCAGCAGGGTGAAGGAGCTCTGCTGGTAGGTTGAGGTTTCTCTGCTGGAACCAAGAAGTCACACTCACAACAAAGACCAGGGCTGTTGTGAAAAGCACGCAGCCATCCTCAGTGACATGGAGGCCCCGAGCTCCTCCTCTGACAAGCACAGTGGAGTACAGCCAAGAAGCCAGCATGAAGAGTTCATCCTGGAGACCAAGGAGCACATGACTTCCCCTCTGGAGCCAGGAAGCAATGCTCAATGTGAGGACCAGAGCTTCTCCAGGAGAACCAAGGGCTCAAATAGCAATTTGTAGGAGTAGGAGAACCCACAACGCCCAAAGCATCAACAGCCTCCCTTCTCCTTCCCCAGTCTCTAGTTATGCTGGCAACTTTCCTCAGGTGAAACATCTATGCTCAGCACCATGCTGATGTAATCCAGCTGGCTTTAAGTTGAGGACCAGTTTTTAATCCATAACAATAGTCAAGATCATAGATCTTCAAGAAACTTGCTTTTTCTCAGGAGAGATTTGTTTTTTACTTTGTACTCTAGAAAATACAATTATTTCTTTAATTTGGTCATATCAAGCATGTTACTCCCTTGTTGGAAATTCATTCATTTTCAGTATAGTTTAGTGTTATTGGGGGTGTAATAAATACCCCTGGAAAGAAAAATAACTGATTGACCATCAGGGAACTGAACTGTAAGACTGCATCCTCCTAAGCACTAAGCCCTAGAGGAAGTTTCCAAGGAAAGAGGGCATAGTGTTAGGTGGGCTTCACTAATCAGTGTTATCTCTTAGCAAAGCATTTTTCAGTTTTAACAGAAAGTAAAGGCAAGTGTAGCCTGCCAACACACATAGCAGGGTACTCATATTTTTGCCTTTGAGAAACAATTCTTTAAATCAGATGGATGAGTAGGAACACATAGATTGTGCTAAGGTAAATACAGAAAAGAGGTCGATTGCAGACTCCAAGGGTGTGCTCGCTGAAGCCCTTGGCTTTCCTGTTGTGTAAGGATCTTTGTAATAATGTTTTGGAATAATATTTGCATCATATAAAAGATTATGACATCATTGTAAGAGAAATTAATCTAAAACAACGTGAAACAAGATGCCAGTAATAATATGACACTGTTTCTTATCAGTCAAAAATACAAGCCGTTCTGTAGGGTAAAATAAGTGCTTCTTAAAAGTGCTTCTTGGGGCTGGGGATTTAGCTCAGCGGCATAAGCGCCTGCCTTGCAAGCAGGCAGTCGTGAGTTCGATCCCTGGTACCGATAAAAAGGAAAAAGACCAAAAAAAAAAAAAAAAAAAGTGCTTCTTAGCTAAATTCCTTTCAGATTTATGCATATTTTTTGAAAACACAGTTTACTCTTTTCTCTAGATTACGGTTCAGTCTAATTATGTTTATGTGTATCTATTGTTTCAGGCTAACATGAAGTTTTCACCTCGTGTTGTGTTTCAGTCAATGCACTCATTCAGTTTTAAAGTTCTCTCTGGTGTGTTTGTAAGGGTCACTTTATACCACATGTCCAAGTCCTCACAAACATGGAACAACCTGTACCAGTGTGTGTCAGGTCACTGACCACGACTCCACCAGCAATGAAATCGCCAAGTGTGCAAGTGTGCTTCACATGTGCTCTAAGTGCTAATAAGCTTGGGCGTGGCCTCGTGCGTCTGTGCAGAGTGCTGAGCCCCACAGTGGTGGAGCTGTGTGCCATTGGGTGGGAGCCCCCGCCCCGCCTCTGGGCTCCTTCTGTGAGCCCATGGATGCTTCCTTCTGCCCTTTTAATTTTAGTAATGCATTCAGGATTGAAAGGTGAATGTTACTGGTCGCAGCTCTGATTTAATCGATGGAACTCCCCAGCCAGTCCTGGGACAGTGGGCATAGTGGAGCTGGACCTTAGGGATACTCTCTGTCTGCTGCTCTGTCCAGGCTGGAGGGACCTTCTAGAGGAGGCTGGCTCCTAGCTGGGTGGAGTAAGACAGGCAGTGGCCTCCCAGATGTGAGTGGGCTCCTTCCTATCAGCAGAGCAAAATGCTGGCCCACTCCCCAGTGGGAGGGAGATTTATTCTGCCTGAATTGAATCTTTGTGCAGGATTTTGTTTGTTTGGTTTGGTCTTCTTTGCAGTTGAACTGAAGCCTCCAATCTTTCTGATTCTTGAACCTGCAGGCACTCAGACTCCAGCTAGCTGTTGGCTGGCTTCATCCTCACTCGGCAGGATTGAGGGACACCACCTGCCCTGGTTCCGTCCTGGGAACCCAGGTTGGAACTTCGCTGCTGGCTCCGAAGGTCTCCAGTGGACACCTGCACATCTTCTCGGGATCCTCCTCTGTCTCCAGGATTATGTGAGTGGATTTGTTATTACAAAACTCTCCCTGCAGCCTCCACTCCCACACTGTTTTTTACATCACTCCACATATTTGGAAACAGAAGTGGTGACTCTATTTTTGTTCTATAACCTGATGGACTCACGGAAACAAATGCAGTGAAAAGTCACTGTAACACTTTGGGTCCTGTTAGTCACACAGATTACAGGGTCATTCGGTTGGAAATCACCTGCATCCACTTACTTTGGTCTCAGAATTAACAGCCCTACTTTCTAGTAATTGCCTTATTTGAATATGTCAAGGTCCCCTAGTTTCTGAGGCCACTAGAGTTTGACTTTTGCCCTTTCCTGTTTTTACCTTTCTTCTGTATGGCTCAGGAGCGTAGATTTATAAAGATTAGCACGTAACATTAGCAATCCTCCCTCATCACTCAGTCCTTACTGGCTGTGCTAAAGCACTGCACGCTCTGTTAGAGTTCCACTGTGTCGTCCTTTGCCATGTGTAGCTAACACCTCTGAGCCCTCTTTTACTGTGGGATTATGATTAACATTTCCGCAGTTATCCAGCCTGAGATCCTCTTCATCCTACTTGTCCTCCTTAAAGAAGGCACAGACTTGGGTCAAAGTCCAGAGAACTCCTGGGGGGCGGTGAGAACTGGGGTGTGTTTTGATTGTCAAATCACTACACTTGTGACCAGGTTCTATGTCAGGTGTGGACACTGGCACCCTTTCTTTGCTGAGTGTCCCTTGGGGCTGACAGTTACCTTTTACCTGGGACTTTGGCTTCTTCTCATGCTTAGAGAATGAAGGGTAACTCAGGCGTGCTTTGTTTACTCAGTAAAATTTGTCCAGCAGGTACTTGAGATAATCAAAACCCTAAGATCACTCATACTAAAAAAATGCAGCCCTAAAATATAATATTATAATATTGTAAGTGTGAAATAAAACAAAGTGGTAAGAGATTAAAATGACAAATGATAACAGATAGTATCAAAATCATAGCCTGGTTATAGAAAAATCATAGCCTGGTTATGATACAAATGATCGAGATCTAAAAATCTAAAATATAATCTGAACGATAAAATCTAAAAATAACGCTCTTTCATGTTCCACCCATAGAAACTGTAAAATAACAACCCCAATTTTATTTAGAAATTACAGAAAGCATCTCTTGGCATATGGGAGCATTTGTTAGATGTGTTGCTTGAGAATAAGTGCCATGAGCTATCATTATTTTCACCCAATTTGTTTTTCAAAACCTCCTATAGACACTAACATTGGAGAGATTATAAGACTATAAAACTTCTTATTGAAAGTTGTTAATTAAAAACCTTCAGGTTGTCTATAATCAAAGTCAATATGATGAAGTGAATAAGAAACACTTTTTCAGGAAGCTGTACTGATTCTGATACTTTGAGGATTTAAAACAAAGACTAATCAAATAAGCCATAGTTTACTAAAATTGCATTTCTATGTGATGATCACACAAACACGCCAACACTCACATACACTAGTGTTGAAATTCAACTCTGCCCAGTATAGCACTCTATCTTACTAGTTTCTCTGGTTAAGAATTATACATGGTACTTTTTGGAACTGCTTTTGAAATAATCTTTTACTATTTATTAAGAGCACCATACTGTTTCAGTTGCTCAGTTTTGCTTTTAACAAGGAAGTAGAGCTGTCTGCCGCGTATTTATACATGTATAAACTTGTAGAAGTTTACTTGGTTTATATTGAAGATTCCAAGGCAGCCAATCAGAGGAAGGAGGAAAGGCCAGGAAAGGAGGAGGAGGAATGGGAGCATGAGCTTCGTCTGTCTGTTGCAATGATTTGTTTTCTCCATTGTTGCACCTTTGGTTTCTGTAGAGATCTTCTCACTCAGCTGGTGTTGGCTTTCAGTCTTGAAAACACCAGAAACCCTCTCTGTCGTGTGCCTGTCTGTGCGTGTGCACTGTGGTGTGAGTGTGTGTGTGTGTGTGAGAGAGAGAGAGAATTTGCTTCGTCTGGTAACAGTACTATTTAAATATTTATTTTGCTTTGCACTTGAAGAAAGTTCAAAATGTTATTAAGCTGTTAAATGATAGATAACTGGGCTGAAAAGTTTCAAAACTTTGGAGACATTGTTTTTTGAGATAGTATTTTGTTTTTCTCACTTTATACTGCAGAGAATTTATAGGAAACAAAACCACCCCATTCACCACAGAAAGAGTCAAGGCAGAGAAGTGGGCTATGGCTTCTTTCACGCTGGGCTCAGCTGTGGGGGGCCAATAGGGACCTTGGTGTAGCGAGCTTTACCTGCCTGGTGGATCTGCCCATTAACTCAGAAAACCCTAACATTAAGAAAAGCTCCAGTGATCCTAAGTGCTGGCCGTAAATCTAGCCAAAGCTGGAAAATGTGAAAGACTAAAGAATTTGTCAAAACAGTCTTGGAATTTCAAGTGACAAACTCATTCGTATATGGCCATGTAGAAATTCTCCTTCAGGTTTGATTTGGTCTGTGATCCTAGACACAGGGAGTTTGCTTTGTTTATTCCAAAACAAATTTGTAGGAAAATCTTCCAAGATTTCTAAGTAATTTTTTTCACAGTAAAATAATATTGAAGCCCAGGAGCCTGGAGTTCACTCCGCATTCTTAGCACATGACTGTGGACTCGCAGATTTGCAGGAGTCGGGCCAGGTGTGTGCCAGCACCTGATGCTGCACACCGGGAAGCCAAGCCTGGCTTTCAGGTCAGAAGGCTTAGTTTGCTCAACTTCACTTACTGCGAAAATGTATCAGGATTCCTGGGGCAATCATCTGCAGCTGGGAAATTTAACAGCCTTCTCCAAGATTGCTGAGACCACTGGCACTTGCACTGATGACGGAAAATGGCACTATCTATGTGTAGCGGGTCATGTTGTGTGTTGACTGAAGGTTAAGGCTTGGACTCCTGTTGCTCAGAGCTGCTCTGAGGACAGCCACTGACTCAGTCTCCTCTGAAGTGTGTCTTCTGCTCCTGGGGCTGTGCATCCTCAGTCCCTCGATGGCATCCGTGGGTCTGGACATGTGGTGGTTTATTCCACCAGTTGCCCCATTGTGATGATACCTGATGGGCCTGACCTGTGCCCACAATGTGACTCTTGTGCTTGTGCAAACAGAGGTTGAGAGTCCCCGGCACCAATGTGCTACCCACACAAATGCTGTTTGTGTCTAAATATAAAGTATCTCAGAGAAATAGGAAGGGCCTTCGTGGGCTGCATGCCAGTAAGAACCCAACCATGAGGCTCTTCTTAGTTATCTCTCAGTATAGAGTTCAGGCTGGCCTCAAACTCTTGGGGATCTTCGGGCCTCAGCCTCCCAAGTGCCCCATTACAGCCCTGTGCTCCATTCCTCGCCAAGAGTCTTTAAACTGGATGCTCAGTGAGCTGTGAGCAACAGCAGGGATTGGAGTGGAAACAGGCGAGCACTGCACGGAAAGCAAGTGTGTGCTTCACAGAGGTGTGGCCGGGCTGCCAGACTCTGTGAGGGCATGCCGGGTGCTCTCCTCTGGCTCCCACAGGCTAAGTGATGCTAATCCTTGGCACTGGTAGTGGCTGCCAACATTGCTATGATTTTAAATTCAAATCCTCTTGTTTTCCCCACCTTTCATTCTTAGTGCAGATTTTCTGCAACCTCCATGGTTGATGGCATTCCGTGCCTTCGACCAGACTGACCGTGACATGGGATGTGCTGGTGGCTTTGGTGGCAGGGATGCTCTAATGTCACCCACCCACTGGAGCCACGTCCCGCCACGTACTGCGCAGTGGGCAACTGAGGGTGAGACCCCAGAGCCATGGCGCTGGCAGGGAGCTGGCAACACCACGGGGACTGTTGCCGCTCATGTGGGGTGCCACCTAGGGCCAGGGCTGCCTCTGGTTGGTCCATGTGCAGCAGCATGGAGCAGAGTTACCTGGTACCTGGGTACAGGACGGGATGACGCCCAGAACATGGGAGCACAAGGGAAACATGTGAAGCTAATAGGAGACAAATTATTTGTGCTTTCCTCTGTAGGAAATCCTAGTGCATGCCTGTGACTGTGCTTGTTGGGGTAGCATGGGGCAGCACGTTCCTCCCTGCTCTCCCTCCTGCTCCCTGGCTCTCTCCCAGCAGCTCTCCCCTGGGCTGTGCCCCGGGCTGTTCCTGGCTATCCCCTGAGCACGCTCAGGTCAGTCGCATGCTTCATTTCCAGTCTGTTTGCTGGACACTGTTGTCCCACCTGGGTCTGTCCGAGTCCTCTCCCTGCCATTTCCCGCCCACCTCTCAGGAACAGTTGGCTCTGCCCTCCCCAGCTCTGCTTTTATGTGTGACAGCTGCCACTGGGACTGCTTTTTTCCTTCTTTCAAAAATCTGACTTCATTTGTTTCCATTGGTTCTAACATGTTGTATCTTACTATATTTTAATGTGTGCAATAGTATAAGCAAATTTTTTATAGGCAAAGAGATAATATAGAAACTGATGTTCGGTTTCTGTTAGCTGGTTCTAAATACCCTGCAATAATTTCATTCTCTTGAATGGTTTCACACTGTCTTGATAAGTTTGATGCTATAGTATATGAAGTTAGACTCAAATATTTCAAGGAAAGAGTCACTATGGTAACTACTATTAATGTCAGGCTATCTGGTGGTGAAACACAATGATGCTTAAATTTTTCAGTTCTGACCGGTGTTGTTCTATTGATATGTTCTTTTTTTATCTCAATCTCCCCCACTTTTTCTTTTCTTTTTTTTAATTAATTTATTTCTTAGTATCTTTTAACTAAGGGAAAACTAAATTAAAAATAGTGTGATTGATTATAGTAACTTTTTTGTTTCCCTGTTAACCTGATTTGAACCCCTGTATTGTTCTCCACATCTTGTTCTGACTGATTTTATTATATTCTGTTTTGCTTAATAGTATCAAGTTTGAGGGTGTAGGCAACCATTTGGAAGGCAACCAGATATTCTATAATGCCCGTTATTGTTTGACTATTATCTTCTTTGGAAGTCCTGTAAGCTCTC